AAGTACCTCCAGGCATTCCTGGAACAAGTTGAGAGTAAATAAAGGTCCCATGAGCAAAGTGTAATGAAAGGTAATATGACACTGCCATTTTGATAGGATTTGCAAATGGGTAAGAGTAATACAATATTTATTCATCTATGTCATTCTATGACTTTTGAGGATTATACGGAGTTAATTGTGTGAATAGAAAAACTAGCTATTATAGTAGGTTGGAATGACTGCCCCCAAGGATGGTAGGCCTGAAACCTGTAGATATTAATTCATATGGAAAAGGGGTCTTCACAGACAGTAAGCTAAGGATCTTGACATGGCAAAATTAACCTGGATTAGGCAAGTGAGCCCTTAATATAAAGCACAGTGTTCTTGTGAGAGAGAAGCAGAGTCAGAGAGCGTGAGAGAGAGCCACAGACAGAGGAAAAAAAGGAAGTGTGATCACTGAAGCAGAGATTGGTGATGGCAGCCGCCAGGGGTAGAAGGGACAAGGAGCAGATTCTTTGTCAGAGAATCAACAGGAAGCTGGGCTCTGCAGTCCCCTGACTTTGGCCCACTCGAAGTAGGTTTGGACTTTTGGGCTCCAGCGATTGGGAGATAAACTTGTGTTGTTTCTTTAGCCACAAAGTTTGTGGTAGTTCGTAGCAGCAGTGACAGGAATGAGCACAACTATTGAATAGATACAAGTTGTTAAATGAAAAGACTTTTTTTCCTTCTACCTTTATAGCTTTTGCAGAAGGCAAGCATCAAGAAACTTATTTTCATGTCAAATAATAAAATACTAAAAATATCAGTTTAAAGGATCAAGAAGGTTTTATTTTTAAAGACCTGCCATGTGTTTCAAAACAAATGCTAAATCCCCAAGCAACTCTCCTTCCTCTAGATGTTTCCCAACGTACTGTAAAGGAATGTGCCCAATAATTCCATCACAAATTGAAAAATACCATGAGTTGAGAATGCTCCTCATCTACGACACATCATTGCTTAGCAACCCTTCACAGTAGAGGGTCAGCTGTTTCCTCCGTGATGATGTGGCTGACAGGAGCTGTGGTTGGCTGTCTCTGTCCAGCATTCAGAGAGAATACTGTCAGTTTCTCATTGCTGTCACAAAATACTTGAGAGCAAATGAAAGGAAGGAGAGATTTATTTTGGCTCATAGTTCCAGAGATTTTACTCTAAGGTGAGCTTGCTCCATTGTCGTGGACCTGTGGCAAAACCCCACAGTAGGCATCAAGGGCTTTGTGGCAAAGCAAAAGTGCTTACTTTTTGCAGCTGGGAAGCAGAGTACAAGACAGAGAGGGGGGCAGGGACAAGACACCCTTCAAAATATTCAGAGTGACCTTCTTCCACCCAGGCCCAACCTCCTACCCTCTCCCTATAATGCTATTAAATTATCAATGGATTCGTTCATTGATTAGGTCAGAGCCTTCAGGATTCAAACACTCCTTCATGACTGGAACAAACTGGCAGAGTTTAAGCCTTTGACACAAGAGCCTTTTGGGGGACACTTCCTATTCAAACCATACTGTGTTATCATAAGCCTGGGAAAAGATCAAAACTCTGAGTGCACTACTGAATGGGTGGCCATTTTTGCATCACCTTAAAGCTGAAAATCCTTACGTCAAACCTTCCTAAGTAAAGAGCTATCTGCACTAATAGTATGAAAGTAAAGTTCTTCAGCATCAGTGGGGAGCAACTGGAAAGGCTGTCCTGTGAACTGCCCATTCCAGTCTCCTCCAGCTCCCTCCCACCGAGTCACCCCACTCACATTCCCCCCGTACTGCATCTACCCACTCCCTAGAACGTCTTCTAGGGATCTATTATTTCACAGAACTGAAGAATGTATTTGCAGATTTGATTTCGTGGGACTATTTCTAGGATCTGCTCTTCTATGTGCAAATCAACATGTGGAAAGGGCTGGGAAAGTGGCTCAGTGGTAGAGCGCTTGCATGCCTGAGGCCCTGGGTTCGATTCCTCAGCACCACATAAGCAAAAAGAAAAAAGCAGGAAGTGGCACTGTGGCTCAAGTGGTAGAACACTAGCCTTGAGCTGAAGAGCTGAAGGACAGCACCCAGGCCCAGAGCTCAGGCCCCATGACCAGACCCAAAAAACAACAACAACAACAAAAAACCGTGGAAAATGGTGACACATCTCTGCTTGTCTCTAGATGAAGGGGCAAAGAGAGAAAAGAGGCAAAAAGATACACAATCCACTGTCCAGATAATTTTAAAACAAACCCTGGGGCAGCTAGCAGCATCCATCTCAGAAATCACAGGATTCTCTTAGGATCTAAGAAGCCAACATTCCTTTGCTCTGTCCCACCCACAAAAGTTCCATCCTCAAGAGGAGGATGGGGGGGGGGGGTGGAGGGGAAGAGTAACAAAGGGCAGGAGGGGAAGACGGAAGTTTTATTTTTCCTCTGGAAGCCATAGGGTTTGAACAGGAATAGATATTCACAGCACTAACTTTCCACTCGTTACCCACTTGGCTGTAAATAAGGGATTCTCTCTGCATTATGAGGATGAGAACTCTGTCCACCTTCTGGGACACTGTACAAGTGAAACGAGTCAGTGCACAGGAAGCACTGGGAACAGAGATGGGACACAATAACGCACCTGTGCTATTTCAGCATCACCCACAAGGCCTGGGATCTTTTATGCTCTCGTGGCACTGTGTGGCCTTATTTCCTACCATTAACATTAGGCAATGTGACATTCTCATGTGTCCTACAACCACCCAACAGATGTGTTCATCTTCCTCTACCGTAAGTACTATAAAGCAGAACGCAAGTCTGTTTTTGTGTTTCTTTGTGTGGTGCTTGACAAAGGAAAATTGCTCTGAAATATTTGCTTACAAGGAAAGCAACTCAGTGACATTAGAGATTTCCAATCTGTTGTTTTAGATGTCTTCTTTTTTAACTTACTATAATTCTCTTCTGCCTTCATAGAATAGTAGAATCACCTGGGAAGTTTTTAAGTGTAGCCAGTGCCCCAGGGATTCCAGTTGGATTGCTATTGGGTCAGCCAGGGTCCACTTAGTCCAACCTGTCTCTCTATAGCTACAGGGTCTTTATTCTTGGGTTTAACCAACCACAGGACAAGAATACTTGAAAAAACATTGAATATGTACAGATGCCTCCCCCACCCATTGTCATTAGTTCCTGAAAATTCAGGATAACCATTTTTTTACATCACATTTATATTGACTTAGATGTTATAAGTAATCCACAGATTTAAATATATGGGAAGATACCAGTAGGTTCTTTGTGAATTCTGTACCATTTTATACAAGAGCCTTGAGCATCCCTGGATATGGGGATCTTCCGGGGATGGCAGTGCTGGAACCAATCCTCCATGAATATCACGGGATAAATGTATGTAAGATTCTCCAAGAACTCTAGTCTGCACGCCAGGATGGGAAAGTCTCGTGCTGTTCCTGCCTGACTTCAAATGTGAAAGCTTCCAATTCAATCTCTGCTTTTGAACTGAACCAATAAATAAAGAGTCTCTGCTTGGACAAAATGGTAGTCCTGTTTCTGACCTTTCTCCTAAGGCTCGCCAGTGCACTTCCTTGTACACTCAGGCTTCAGCAAAGACCTCTGTGAAGTCGGTGTACCACCACGCCCGTTCCCACGTCTCAGAGGCTGGCCATCCTCCACGTGTGGCCAGCGTCTTCACCCTCTACCACCCCAGCACATCATCCCCCCGGCCCTGCTTCCAAGTAGATTCCTGTGAGGTGTGCCCCCTGCTATTTTCTCTCAGTAATTTTCCATTACTGGCCTCCACGTTGCTCACTGGGCCGTACGCATGCCCACTTGGCCTCCTCTACCCTGTTGGAAATGGAGTCTAATCCGTCTCACACTCCAAGACCCTTCCCAGTGATCTCCACAGCTCTTCCCATGTCCCCGAATCTGCCCCAATACAGTCGCTCTCCCGTTTAGATAACCCGGGGAAACACTGGGGGTGGCATCGTCCTTGGCCGAGGGAACCCGTGAGTGTGGCTCTTGCTGTTCAGACAATGGCAGTCCTGGCAGCAAACCGGTTGGGTGACTCCAGGCCCTGGCACTCTCTGCCAAAAAGCTCTCATTCAGGCTGCTTCTGCCCCTGGGTCATGAACCTCTTTTTTTCCTTCTTCTTCTTTCTGACATGCTGTTATGCATATGGAAAGGCACCGCAGCATTCCTTAGTGTGTTGAATGGTGGCCATATTCGTGTCTGAGGCTGGACTCCGCAGCCCACTCCTGGGGGTTGCTCCCCAGGGTTGAGTTGTGACTCAGTTTCTTCTTACCTGGCTCTGGCTCCACATACACCCACCTCTGACCCCCCCTACCCCCATCCATTTACTCTCATTCTCGAATGAGCCCAGAGTTTTCCCCGACCCCAGCCTGTCCTGTGACCAAAGACGAAGGCGCTGCGGATAGCCCAGGAGTGCGGGGGGGGGGGGGGGGGGAGTGGAGGGCGGGGCGGCACAACCGTGGCCTTGGGCTCCCCCCCCCCCCCCCCGCGCACTGGGACAGATGGGGACTCAGGTGGTGGGAGAGGTGGGGGGGGTCGCTTCCGAATCGCAGCAAACCTGGGAACAAGTGCCAATCTGCGGCAGGTCAGGGGTCTGGGGTCGCTCCCTGGGTCTCCTCCACGAGGGAGATGGAGAGAAGCGCGTGTTCTCGCCCCGGACAACAGGTTTGGGGGGGGGGGGTGCCCGCCAAGGGTGAAGAAGTGGGGGGCGGCGGCGATGGGCTGGGGGAAGAAGGAGCGCGGGGCCCGGCGCGTTTCCTGCCGCGGGCCGCCGGAGGGTCGGGTCGGGTCGGGTCTCCAGCGCCTGGCTCACCCGCCGGCCCCACGCCAGCCCTGAGTCGGGCGCCCCGCCGGGGTCCGCGCGGCGCGCGCGGGAGGGCCCCGAACCCGTTGGTCCGTGTGCAAAGTTAGACGGGGCAAGAAGAGCGGCCCGCCGCGCGCCGGGGCTCCGGACCCTCGGGGGCGGCGCGGGAGGGGGCGATCGGCGAGCACTCACCTTGTGCCTGCGCCTCCATGGTGCCCGACTTGGAACTGAGCGCGGCCCGGAAGCTCCGGCGCTTCGCCGCGCGGAGGGCAGCGGGTGGGGGGGACGCAGCTGGCCCGGGCCGCTCGCGCCCTCTCCCAGCGCGCGCGAGTCGCGAGCCCGGCGTCCGAGTGGGCGGGCGACGGCGGGCGGCCACCACTGGCCGCCTCTGGTTACCTCCGCCCCTTCCAGTCCACCTGCTCCACACCGCGCGGCGCGCGCCGAGAGCTGGCGGCCGAGCGCCGCCTGGCGGCCACGCCGCACGCGCGCCTCGCCCGCCGTGCGCTCCCGAGGCACCCAAAGGGCCCACATACAAATGGACCCTGAGTTGCTAAGTACCAGCACCCGTAGATCCCAGGAGAGAGGGAGTGTGGATAGACAGTGCTGAACCATTGCTCCTAGTGAAGATAGGGTTAGGGTCCTGCAAGGTTTGAGCCCAACGTCTTTGTTGAGTGATCCATGTGTAACTTGGTGTTTTATGTGTGTGTCTGTGTCAAGACACTTTTCTGGGCTGTCTCTGGTTGATTTCATTAACGTGAATCACATAAGCATATGTCTATTAGATTTTTTTCCCTTTGAGGCACATCACAACTTTCTGACACCTAAGAATTCTAAGCAGTGCTTCTCTAATTGTATGAGGAGGGAGATGGGGCATTGTTTGTATACGGCCAGGTCAGGCATGGACACACACACCAAAGACAGCCCCACAGAAAGGTTTAGTTGAGGGCTGGGAATGTGGCTTAGTGGTAGAATGCTTGCCTAGCGTGCATGAAGCCCTGGGTTCAATTCCTCAGTACCACATAAACAGGGAAAGTTGGAAGCGGCACGGTGGCCCAAGTGGTAGAGTGCTAGCCTTGAGCAAAGGAAGCTCAGGACGGGGCCCAAGCCCTGTGTTCAAGCCTCAGGACTAGGGGGGAAAAAGGTTTTGTTGGTAGGCCAAGACAAAGGCACTTGCTTAGAGTAAGAGATGGGGAACAATCAGGCTGAGCAGACTTGTTTAACCTTGAGGGAGGTTATACCATGGCCTGGCATCAATGGTCTTTGCTTTTGACTGGGCACTTTAGAGAAAGCTCTAGGGATATTGATTCTGGTGATGCAAATAAATTTTAGTAAGAAGGAGGTTTTACAAAAAGAGCATCTGCACTGTGTGTGTGTGTGTAAATTGTGGTTGTACTGGGGCTTGAACCCAGGGATTCTCAATCAACCAATCTCAATCTCACAATCTACCACTTGAACTATATCCCCCTACTCTTTTTGCTCTAGTGATTTTTCACATAGGGTGAAATATGGATAAGGGATCCAACAGGGGCCATGTTGGCATCTTGGTGGATGAGAGACTCTGAAAATTCTTAGAGATGAAACCCCACCCCCACCCCCAGGGGATAAGGTTTCCTGAGTTCCTAGAGGCAAGGGCCTGGACTTGGACAATAGGTTGCTGGACCTGCCAAACCTGTGACAGGAACACTGAGATTCTCTGAACTCTTGAGCTCCTGTGGCCCTCCCCCTGACCATGACCCTAGTTAGGCTCCAACACTTTAGTCACCATTTTGCCCCAAGCCTAGTTTCTCCTGACTCTCCTCAGTTCTCCCTCTTCAGCCCTCCATTAGCGTTGATCACATTTCCTGAGATTGGTTTTCTGCTCTTTCTTTGCTACCCTCATGGCTCATTTCCTAACAGTATTTATGTTTGAGGCTGCAAGTTTTAGGGGGGTATGTATCTACTCGCAGTCATCGGCTTTGTAATAAAGACTCCCAATTCGACCTCTCAAAATGTGGCTTCTCTATATCTTGTGATCAAATTCCTGTATTACAGGGGTCTAGCCCTTTTTGTCCCAGTCAGCTCAAATTGCGATTTTTTTTCTACTTTAACCTACTGTTTAACTGGGATTACAGACCTTAACTACCACAGTTGTATATGTGTTTTTAATTAAAAGCAAAGCAAAACAACAGTCAACTGTACAAGTAGGCTAGTATGATAGTCATTCTCAGAGATGACTAGAAATCCTCAGTTTGGTTTCAAGACTTATCTGGCTAGTTGATTCGAAGAAAGTTTGGCTAGGTATAGCAATGATCAATTCATGCCTTTCTTCCAGTGGAGCTGAGCTGCTAGAAATTTTACTTTTTCTCAATGTCTACAACAACTTCTGTAAAATGCCCTTATTTATCAAATGTCAATGTTTGTCATTTGTGTTGAGGCAATGAATGTATATTTCATTTTTCTCTTTTTTAATTTTTTTATTTTTTGTTGGTTGTGGGGGTTGAACTCTGGGCCTAAGTACTGTCCCTCAGCTCTTCAGCTCAAGGCGAGCACTCTACCACTTGAGCCACAGTGCCACTTCTAGCTTTTTCTGCTTATGTGGTGCTGAGGAATCGAATCCAGGGCCTAATGCATGCTAGGCAAGCACTCTATCCCTGAGCCACCTTCCCAGTCCTCCCTTTTTCTCTTAAAATGGCTGAATAACTCCAGTAGGATTGAATATGGTTATTATATTAAGCCTCCCTTAATTATTGCCAAGGAGTCTTAAACAAATTTAATAGCTCAAAAAGACTTGTTGAATACACAGCTAATCCAGTAGATTATGTTTTATCCATGCCCAGTTACTTTCAAAGTGTAGACTACTAACTACCCACAAGTTTTACATTTTTGTTCTTGGAAGGAACAAAGTCATTGACTTATGGTTTCTCTGGCACATATACAAACACATCAGTTTGTTTTGTTTTGTTGATGATCTCAGCTTAGTAATCGTGGCCATTATGACAAGACTACAGTGACTTTTGATGATAGTATCCAGGTGTGTGTGGAGTGAGGACTAAATCACTCCTAGAGATTATCCAGTTGTTCTGGTCTTTTTAGTCCTTGAAAATGAACACCAGGTGAGGCTTGACTCCCAGTTGTTAAAATGAGCTAAAAACAGCTTCTGACTTTCCAGCTTGAGGCATCTAGGCATCATCTACACTCTGACTCATTCTTCTGATTTACAACATTTTAAGCTATGGCCCCTTTCATATTGTTATCACTGTTTAGAACAATAAAAGAGTGGTGTTCATTCAGAAACAGTAACTGAACTCTGTGCTGTGGGGTTGTGCTAGACACTAAGGATACAGATAAAGGGCCTGATCTCCCACTCCTCCCCACTCCAGGGAGTTCATGATTTGTCGAAAAGGAGAGCTCAACAGGCTCTTGATAAAGCCAGGTGAAGTGGTGAGGTACTGGGCCTGAGGCAGGCCCAATACACCTCCTTTCACACTGGTGAAAGGAGGGAAAGGAAACTTACTTTGCTTTCTATTAGCCTTTAAGAAAGAAAAATTAGCCAGGTAAATTGTGGTTCCCAGAGAACGATTCAATTCAGGGGAGTTATTATTGATGTTAACAAATCATAAAAAGAAGCTTTTATAGCTTGTGTCCTTCCTTTTCTTTGTTAGGAATAATGGAGCATTTTCTTAACTTTTTGAAAGCTAAATCAAATAGCCATCATAACCCATGTCTTCCTCATCTCTTGAACTACTTTAAATGGAAAACAATGGGCAGATGGGAGGCAGGCAATGAATTCTGGATCACTCAAGAGATGATCTTGCAGCAGAGGTGAGGAAGCCGTAGGTGGCAAGTGCACCAGTCCTTACCTGAACAATCTCCAGCTGACTGCTATTGGACAGGGCTAAGAGTGCTCATGGGAGGTGGGCATGGCACACAATAGGAGGAGAGAGTAGTAAGGACAGGTAAAGTACTCTACTGTGACCCATGAACCTTATTCATACTCAAAGAAGACCTAGAGCTTTTAGGGCTCTATTACATCCCCATTCTGAAAATGATTAGCTCTGCATCCTGGTTTTCTGCACATCAGTCTATGCATCCTGTCTTCCTACTCCCATTGGGCATTCATGTTTCTGAAGCAGTGGTCTGCAGCCCCACTGGGCATGAACTCGATATTGAGATATTATGATTTAATTTATTTTGAAAGACAAAGTAAGGTGATCCTGATGTGCTTCCAAGACTGAGAGGGATGGCTTTGCCATTGTTCATAGCAAGGGTGAAAGACACTAAATCCCCAACTCCTAGACAGATATAGTAGGAAAATCTTGTGAGTAGGCAAAGCATGGTTTGTTGCCTCATAATCCAGGGGAGCTGGAGAGAGATAAGAATCAGGGGAAGGAAGAGAAGTGTGAAGGAAGGCTTAGACGTGGGCTCTGTCTGTGTGTCTTCCCCTTCGGATTCCAGTAAAGCAGGAGCCCTTATTTGCAAAGTTCTATTGGGAACTCTCATTTCCAGGTAGTTCTGAGAAATGTGTGAGGAACTGAGTCCTTCGTTCCTTCCTTTGTTCCTTCTTCCTTCGTTCCTTCCTTTCTTTCTTCCTTCCTTCATTTCTCCTCCTCCTCCTCCTCCTCCTCCTCCTCCTCCTCCTCCTCCTCCTCCTCCTCCTCCTCCTCCTCCTCCTCCTCCTCCTCTTCTTCTTCTTCTTCTTCTTCTTCTTCTTCTTCTTTTCTTCATCTTCTTTCTTCTTTTTTGATTTTGGTTGGTTATGGATCTTGAACTCAGGGGCCCCAGTCCCTGCGTTCTTTTGCTCAAGCTAACACTCTACCACTTTGAGCCACAGCTCCATTTCCAGTTTTCTGGTGGTTAATTGGAGACAAGACTCTTAATAGACTGTCCTACCCAGGCTGGCTTTGAACTGTGATCCTTAGATCTCTTTCTCTTGAGTAGTTAGGATTGCAGACATGAGCCACCAGCACCTGGCCCCAGAGTACTTCCTGTGTCACTGAATTTCTCAACATTTCCAGCAATCTTAGCAACTACGATTTCTCTTGAGCCTTATGTGGGATGTGTCGGTTAGAGGAGAGAGCAAGAGCGAGTGAGCCAATGTGACACCCCAGGAAGCTCAAGGAAAAGAGGTTCCACTTCCTGAAGCCATAGAATGTCTCCTGATTGGGAAAGGGCTGCATAGAGGTAGAAGCAGTTGGTGCCTGTGTTGGACCTCTGCCTGGAGGAAAGACTTGCTAAAATCACCCACTCACAGCATGCTACTGTGTAGGCCAAAAGTATTAAGGAGAGACAGTTTAAGTGCCCAGTGTGGGAGCTTTCTGCCTGTTCTCCACTTTTGTGAACTTCCCAGCTCTTAGGAGGACTGGGAAAAGGAGTC